AACTCAATCACTCATCCCCCCCCCTTTTTTTTTGTTTTTCTGTGACACACCATTCTTTTTGTTTTCCATTATGGCACAACAGCTTTGTTTCCCTTTTACATGTTCACATCGCAATCTGTCCAGCTGACACTGATCAATGGCAGCGGCAGTGTAACAGACCGCAAGAACAACAGGGGTATTGACAGCAAGAATGGATTTTACAGAAAGCGAGTGACTACAGTAACATGGTGACTGATTATGGGGAGAACTTGTCAAAGCAAATGACTTACTTCTTCCATTCCTCATTTTACGTCACCTACCACCCTTCCTTTCTTTCTGATGAACAGTAAGGTGCTCAAACTGAATGCAACGCCCGAGTATCATAAATGGAGGCTGGGATTCTAGTCGCTAATATTCCATCAACTTGTGCCTATAAATTAAAAGATTCTTTGCAGTCGAGCAACAGCGAACAAAAGTTTGGTGCCATTACTTTAAATAACTCTAGATAGGCGTGTAATGAGAGAATTCTTTGTCAGACAAAGAATAGCCTTGTCAAACTTCACATACAAAGCTGCATTTATTAAACCAAAGCTTTTAAAAATCCAACTAAGGAAGCTTCCAGCCACTGAAGCATGAATTTCAAAAGCAACCATTCAATTTATTCAGTCAGAAGTTCATACACTGCCCAAAACTATTAAAGGGACACCCACTAAATCAGGGTATTGCATCAAGTCAATTAAATGTCTGGGATATTGATCTGGTTGGTTAAGTAAGAGAGGAGGCTGTTAATCAGTTTCAACTACTTTTTGTACTAATGAAATTAACAATGAGACATCAAAAAACAGGAATGGTTTTAAAAGTGTGGGCCACTGACATTTTTTCCCCATTTTTTCCCTTCTCATCTTTTTTGACTGTTATGATAGTGTCACTACTAGTAGCACGAGGCGATACCTGTAAACTACAGTGGTCCAGCTCCTCCAGGATGACACAGCAATGCATGCCAACGCCAGAGGGTTTGCTGTGTCTTCCTGACATAAAAGCATTACAGGAGACTTTTATTTTAGGAACACTGAACAGAAGATCCTTAACCCGTCAGCAGGATTAATATCTGCTCTTTTGTGCATGAAGGAACAGGAAGAGCAGTGCCAGAACTCTTCACAATGACCTCCAGCAGGCCACTGGTTTGAATGTCTCTGACCAAACAATCAGAGACATTTGGCCCAACATCCTCCAGTGTGCCAGAGTATGTCAGGTGCCAGCACAGTGGAGCTTGATTTGCATTTACCATGGAACACCAGAATTATCAGGTCTACCACTGGCATCCAGTGGTTCACCCGGAGCACACGTGACAGACGTGAAAGTGTCTGGAGAAGCTGTAGAGAACATTATGTTTCTTTGTAACATCAATCAGTATGGCCGGTTTGATAGTGGTTTCAGCGATGGTCTGGGGAGGGATATACATGAAGCGATGCACAGACCTCTACAGGCAAAGCAACAGCACCCTGACTGCTATTAGGCATTAAAATGACATCTTCCTACATTTGTTGAAATGTATAGACAATGGGTTCCTTTGTCAATACGCAGGCAATTTCTGGAGGAGGGAGGCATTGATACCACTGACAGGAGGTCACCTGACCTAAATCCAATAGAACACCTCTGGGACTTCATGTTTCTGCTCCATCCGACATCGCCAGGTTGCACCTCAGACTGTCCAAGAGCTCAGTGATGCCCTGGTCCAGATCTGGCAGGAGATCTCTAGGACACCATCCAGTGTCTCATTAGGAACATGCCCTAACATTGTCAGTCATGCACAGAAGCACACGGGGTCCGTGCAAACTACATTGTATACCCCCCCCCCCCCTTCCCACAGCTGGGCATTTGTTGTGATGTGTTGTAACTCTGAACATGACTTGGTTCATTTCATTCTGCATGAACTGAACTTTGAGCTGGCTTTTGCAAAGTGTGAACTTGACAAACATCTGCCAGGGTTGTTGGACTTCTGCCTGGGGGAAAGTGAATACCAAATTCTTCATTGCTGGATTTTTCTCAAGAAAATGGAGCCCAGACCATGCAAATGATGGACTAGGAATATATTAAGTAAATTTACTAGGGGTACCCACACTGATGCAATGAATATAAATCATTTGTGGCTTTATGCGTGTGTGACTTGTAGGCTTTCTTGGACATTTGGAACAGCTTTTCCTCTTGATGGTGAGTGAACATTCAACTTAATAGAACTGCACTGAAAATGAATCGTGTACTTTTTCAAAGGACAAAGTTCACATTCAAAATATAAGAACCAAAGTATTATTGGAAAAAACAAATTCAGCTTATTTCTATTTGATAATAACATTTATATTTAAATATGGAAAATAACTGTGCTCATCATATCTAAGAAACACAAAAGCAAGAATTAGGAGACTTTTAATTATCCCTTTTAAGATATGGTATGAGTGTCTGGCACGTTACTGAAAACAGCCTTGTTATAAAATCTTTGGAAAGTGACAAACATTTGTCTTTGAATGTAGAACTTGATTTGTGTTTAATCTACAGTACTGTGCAAAAATCTGAAAACTTACACATGAGCATGGTGTGTAACGTGTCCTTAAAAATTTGAGGAAACTGGACAAGAAGAGTACAAAAGAAGAAGTTGCAGGCCTAAAAAGATATCTACAGCAGATGAGAAACGGGGAAAAATCAAGCAAAGACCTGACAAGACTTTCTGATTTTGATCCATCATATTTTCCAACACCATCTCAAAAATGTCTAACCACTATCACTAGCTGTCAATGATTGATAAAGATCTCTGTCTGAATGATCATAATCAACAATGGATTGGCCTTTTTAGAAGGAACAGTGCAACTCCATCAACACTCTCAACATAAACATTGAACCTATAGTGCTCTTTCTCAGCAGGAAGCCATATTTCTGCCTGCTGATTGCATCTCAATTTAGCTTCAACAACTCTTTCCCATCCACAACACCCAAAATGGGGGCGCCCATGGACGGTGTGGCTCAGTGCTCTGTATCATAGTTTTTGTTTGGAAGTGTGTGATAATTTGGCTTCTGATCCTATTTACCTTTTGCCATGCAAACATCCACAGTTGGATATATACATCTTTTTAAAATTATAAAATGTTATAGTTTTTCTTAGTCTGTACTATTCAAGATTGATATTTGGGTTATCAGTTCGAGTGAATTGGTGATCATAAATGGAAGTTATTCAACTAATTGTGAACTCTGAAGTGCCTCAAAGGAACTGTCTCGGCTGTCTCATGTACATTTTTTGTATAGTTTTTATTAATTATTTTCTCTTAGCATTAAAAAAGCTTTGACTCGATTGTATGCTGATTATACTTCAATAACATCAATTTTTAAAAATATACTTTAAAGGAGGATTTCTTTAGATTCAGTACTTTTTGGTGTAAAAGGTTTTTTAATAACTATTTCCCTATAAGTTGTGACATTTATGTGTTAGAATGTGATAGATTTAGTCTGCTCCGTCATCTTCTTTGCATAATTTGAACCATGTCAGTTATAGTTATTTCAAAACCATGGCGTGACAAGAAGCATAGTGCATCAAAACTAACCAGAAACCAGTATGATCAAACATCTACAGGATTTGCCCAAACAAACCAAGACCCCAACTCTGTTACCAGCATCCTGGAGCAAACCCCTGACTGACCTGAATGTATCCTTGTGGATCCAAGCTGTTTTGACCACACATTAGGTGGGTAGTTTTAATGTTGTAGCTGATATCAGTGTATTTGACCAGAGGCGTAAACTGTGCCTGCACTCAATCAGTACTGCGTCTGAAGTCATGGATTGCCCTTTTCAAAATTCACAATGAATTAGAACTATTGAACTGATCTGAAACAGCCTGATTTCGAGCTGTTATAAAGTATTGAATTTAACACTTAATCTTTTCCAGTTTAATTTCTTTTTCACCTGTGGCACAGCTCAGGTCATTGAGAAAATTACAGGATCAGTCTATAGTCTTTAATATCTGTCTACAGTTTAGGTGGATGTTTTATAACTCGCTGCAGGGGTGTGTTGTGAAAGTTGTCTGAAGTTCTGATTTGGATCCTTCCGGCATTACAAGAGATATCGGGGTAATTTCTCTCTTTGATACACTGCTGGGATTCAGCGTCCATGCAAACAATGATGGGATTCAGTCTTCACAGCTGGGAAGATCATTTCAAAGTACCTGAGCACAGCTAAGATATTTTGTTTTCATCTTACAGGCATTTCTCCTATTTCAGAATGTGGCGTTTTCTCCAACTAATTAGATTTCACCAGTTGTGAAAGTCTTCGATGTGTAGAAAACTTAGGATGTGAAGAAATTCAGTTTTGGCTGTTAAAAGTCAAAATATTATAATGTGTGTCCAATTAGTTTAAATACGGGCCCATCCGCTGATCTGCCTGGCCTTTTGAAGCTGTGGGGGGTATACTTAAGATTAACTGTATCCTTTAATGCTTAATTCAAGTTTACAAGGTTAAAACTGTGTTGGTGCTCATTATTTTTCACAGTTTAGCATCATATAGTAAATCCTTTTTTATTTAGTTTACATAGTGAACATGAATGCTGAGGACTGCACTGAAGTACAAAGTGTACTCTGTTAGATTTTAATTGAAGTCAGTGAACGCTATCCACCTTTTACACCAATGCATTATCAACACCAAGCCAAGAGCTTACTCATAGGGGGGAGATGTGAATGCTTAGATGTGTTTGAACATTTGAACCCAACACTAAATGGCTGCAAAAGTCATTTTGAGGCGTTGTATACTGTGAAGTCAAGACCCTACAACATTAGAGATGGAAACTATCCATCTAAATGAATAAGCTCTTTGCAACAGTGGGTGGGGGGGGGAAGAGTTTCACACAGAACCACGCTCAGGGTGGGAGGGCCACCTGCTGCTGCTAATTGGAGTGACGAGAAAGAGAGAAAAGCAGAGGACAGAAAAATGACAGACAGCATAAAGCGCAATGTGGCTCAAACTCTAAGATGATGTTACTTCTAAATGACTGCTCAGTTTTATTATTAATGTTTCAATTTACAGTAAAGATAAAATAGAAGACATTGTCGGTCTCAGTTGATCCATGAAGGCATAAAAAACAGAGGGTAAACTGCAGAAGGAAATGAAAAGCAATGATCTGTGACGCTTTCAGCATGAAGTGGATCTAGAAGACCGAGCAAAGAGAGTATATACAAGCTGATGCCATGCACAGCTATTGCAGGGCAAAATAATAGACACAACACAAGTGTTGGTGCACTGGCGGGGTTTTTTTCTTTCATTTTTTAAATGTTCTGTGTCAGTTGCAAATCGTCTCTGTACTTGAATTTGAATGCAACTTCATGCAACAGCAAATCATATGGTGTTCAGATGCTTTGTGATCAATCATTGACAGTAATCCATTTCAATAATTACAGGATGTTTATCAGCTACTTTGATATCTAAGACATGGCAAGCCCAACACTACTAATATACTGTTCATACAATAAGATGCACACAAACATAACACATGATTTTCTGTCAAATCAATGTTGATACCTTAGAAAACAAAAAAACTGAAAATAAATATAGAAAAGCATTTTCCTTCATGTTCAGTTTTGTGAATATTTTTAGATCTTTAGAAAACCGTGATGATTCACTTTGAATAGCACAGGTGCTTAGCTCTATCCACCCACCCATCCCCGCTGATCCCCTCATAATGGTGCTGCCTTCTGCAGAGACTCACAGAAACTAATAAAAAAAGTATACAGATTTGTGCTAGAGGGAAGAAATCTTTGATATTCTAATTCACTAATTTTCTTAACAAAAACATCTTCTGAAGAAAAGCAAATGCAGCATCGTCACAATAACAGTGTAGTCAAATGTTCAGAAATGACAACAAATAATGCTCCGTGTCTTAATGGGCTGTTATGTATGCATTAAAACGGTCTAGAAGAGATGTTTTTTTTCTTATTCAGCAGATGATTGGAAGAGCATCTGTCAGGTAAATAAAACATGAAATGCTATCAAGCGCTCAGAGTGAGAGAGAGAACGAGCTATATTCTTTGATGCCCGAGAGCTGAGTTCCTCTCATACACACAGGGAGAGACATTATTGATATATTAGTTTTAAATTTTCATTTGTAGCTTTGGCACAGAGTCATTTTCATGCAGCATTAAGTTCCATCTCTAAAACCTGGGAAATTACAAATTTCCTTTCTGAAAAGAAAGAAGAGATTCTCAGAAATGACAAAAAAAAACAAACAAACACAAAACAACACAGAAAATGTATGTTTCTCTTAATAATTGACCTATTTCCTGCACGCAGGAAATGAGAAATATCAACCTGCATAGTTCCTGCGATTTAGTTGCATTAAACTTTTAAAAGATCACCTAATGTTTGCTCAAAACATCAGCTTTGTTTGTTCATTAAAACTTCAAAAAGCATTAAAAGAAAAGGCCTTTACAAGCACCCATGTGGACATGTGTATATTTTTGAAGGCTGAGTTAAGGCCCTGAATGAGGGGGAGCCAGATTTTTTTTAAAAGCCACATCTCCTCCTGCAGCTGTCATCTCTCTCCAATCCCCTCCAACCAGATGAGCATGGGTGTATGCACGATATTCATACAGCAGAAGATTAGTCAGTGGTATAAAAAGTACCCACTGAACCGCCACACTTTGATTCCTATTAAGACTTTATAACCTTTCTGCTTTTTTTTAAGGTCCCATAACAGACTAGATGTTTTTGAAGCCTGAAAAAAGAGCCCAGTGGAGGAGCAGGAGTCGAGTACCTCTTAAGAACATTTAAAATACAATACGCCGAAAGCCTAGATGGGATTATTTGCCCAGTGACGCCAAAAACATGCTGCTTACCCCAGCTTTTAAAAGCTCACACACCAGTTGGATTGATTGACATTTCTGCTGCCAGAACACTCTCAGATACTTGGGCTGAAGTGATACATTGGATTAAAGTCGAGATACAGATTTTAATTTTTAAAATTTTGCACATCAAGAATTGTTTTGAGTTTTCAATCATTTTATTTCTCAGAAAGTCCAAAGGATTCAGCTTCAGATTTCAAGCACAAAGCCACTCGGATCTCATGTTTCAGGGTCAGACATAGATGAGCGCAGCCGGCCAAACTTTTGAAGGAAGTCTGCCTCAGCTTTGACTAAAGCTTCCTCATCGATGTACACTGCTGGTCTCCTTGCTGCTACAAAGTACTGCACCTTCCTCAGGGTCCACCCGAGGACATACATGAGCAGGCCACACACAGCTGCAGTCGACCTCCCCACTCCAGCGTTACAGTGGACATAGACTGTGTGGCCATTCTCTAGGAGACCATGAAGCAAGAATACAGCCTGAGGAAGCATCCTGATCCGGCCTGCAGAAGAAGACGGCAACTCATAAAAGAGATACTGAGTATTTGTGTATTTTTCTTATCCTACTTATTTCAATTAAAGGACTGAAACCTCTTCCCCTCTCCATAATTTCTGTCTGTACTGCAGTCTGTGGCATGCAGCAACAGGTCAGTTAATTCCTGATGGATTAAATCTTTACATTTTTTCGAGCTCAGTAATGCTCCTGTGCTGCAGGCTGTGGTTTTTATACTGACATTACTCAAACAGAAATAAACAGTGCATTTGCTGGGGGCAGTTACCTGTAGCTGTAATTACTATAGGTAAGAAAGACTGAATGCATTCCCATAGCTCAAATGTGTTTTTTAAAGTTTCTGGCCAACGAGATTGGTAATAAATGGAAAAAAAAACCCCAACAAAATTTGCTATTAAAGTGTTTGGCCACAGCATCCTGCCAGAACAGTTCCAGTGTGCTTGCAACTCTAATGGAGGGATAGATGGCCATTTTTCCAAAAGATAGTCTCTCATTTGATGTTTTGATGATGGTCATAAAGAAACATACCGAAATGCTGAAAATCCGTCATTGGTGTTCAATTAGGTAGGAATGTGATGACTTTGAGGTCATTTTCGCCCTCATCCAAGCATACAGTGATCACTTATTCCATATGAATAGATCCTGGGACAGACCGCTCCCATCATATTGGAAATAATTCATCATGGGATAAAAATGACCTCACAGAACAAACCAGCATCTTAGACATGTACCAGTGTCTAAGATTAAGAATATGCTGATAATTTATCTAATCACAACACTTTTTTCTACTTGCAGGCCACAGGTACAGTTTTTGTCCCACTGCACTCAAACAAATCTGCATCTTTATTTGTAATGAATGGTTCCTTCTATAATATCCTGCTCTGTGTAATTGCTGATGGAATATAATTGCTGATACAGGCTGTTCTCATCCCGTACTCACACTCTCAGTCATCTGTGGAAGAATTGCTATCAAATGGGCATTTCTGTCTTGATGAATGTCCAAATTAAATTGATCAAAGGCATAGGGCCTGCTTTTCTCACACATGGATTAAACCTAGACTATAAAACTTTTTTTTTCTGGACATCTTCAATTTGTTTTTCTTTTACTGTCCATCGGGCTTTACCCTCCGAACAGAATTCCCAGTCTCATGTTGAACCTTTGAATAGCTCTAAGTTCATAATGTTTTATGAGCGCTAGATGGAAATCGGAAATGGGGTTAAACACATTTAAGAGGTTCTACTAGAAATTAAAAAGGGCTTTTTCTTCAACCTTGTATGACCAGAAAATCGTCCTTACCCTCAGTGCTCATGTCCGGTGTGGGCAGCCACACATACACAAGGCCACAGTCTCTGTACAAATGCATCATGGTCTCTGGGGTCATGGTTTCGTCGGGGTTACGCCGGCAGCCGTAGGAATTGTTCACCACATCCCACTCTGTCTGGAAGTTCATCACTGCAGTGATTCCCAGTTCATACTTCATCTTTACTGTCACGTGTTCCACCTGTCGAGGGCAGCTGCCCAGCCAAATACGTGGCAGCACCCTGGGGTCAATAAAAAGTTGTGTACACTGATTATTTACTTGTATGTTAAAGTGATGATTATGTGCTAAATGTTCTAACCTTCTAACAAGGCATTTTCATCTCAATTTTTTTTAGATGCTACCAGCCAGACCATCCATTAAAAAACTTTCAAGTGTCACAGTCTCTAACTATGTGTTTATCAAGTATATAATATGCATAATAAAGAATAAAGAAGAATGAAATGTGAAAACACATTTAAAATCCATAAAGAGAGCCTAAAACTCTCAGTGGGTAACAAATAAAATAGGTAACACAGAGGCTGATGGACAGCGAAATAGCTAGGACTTTCAAGGTGCTCCTATAAGCAAAGCAATGATGACAGAGCTTTCAGAACAAAGCTGACCATTATAGGTCAACAGTAAGCAAAAGTGGTTCACTTATGTGTCATTGTCTTACCTTCTTCACACTTTTCCTCATAGCAGTGATGCTTTATTGACCCCCTCATCCCCCTAATTTTCTTCCCGACCACTCTGGTTTGAGGCAGACTCCACTGGTGTTCATTAGCATGCATAAAGTCAGCAACTAGGACGTGACAGGCAAAACAAAGGCGACGCCTTTAATACCTGATGTCCCAGAGCAGCTCTGCAGTGGAAGTATCTGGAGCTTAACTTCACCTCTGTTTTTCCCTCCCCACAAACCTCATCATATCACAGTTTAGCGATATGTCATATGTGGATGAATTGTGTGGAGTCTTGTTGTTTCCACTGTGCCTTCCTCCCATAGTACTGGCTATGGTACAAATTAGCAATTCTAAATGCACTCTGTCATCCCCGTGTTGGACTGGTTACCAGTTGACAATTGCTGAGATAGGCTGGAGCCCTCCTATGACCCTTGATAAGTGGTTAAGAAAATGGATGGATGGAAGGACTCTTATTATATGAACCAAGCAGCCAATATAAACTGAAAAACAACAAGTTGTGTATAACCTGATTTCTTGTTATCTTTCGAATGTGTGTAGCATTTTTTCCTACTAGTTTATTTTAAAATGGAAACAGAAGATGCACTGGACGATTCTAAGAGTTTATTTTTTTCCTTTTCATGAGCTCATACACTTAGAAGTGCAGTAATATCCTATCTTATGAGAAAGATGCCTTTTTTGTCTCTGCTCTTTAGTTGTGAGTCAAACTGAAAAACAAGTGTCTCAATCTGTTGAAATAAAAATGATAAACATCATAAAAAAAGGCTGAGTAAGCCTTGGGCCTTCTCTCTAAATATGAGCTTGACAGATGACTTACCAGCTACAAAGTGAGTGGTCTCCCTGCGAATGTTATAATGACTTACTGCAGAGTGTGTGTAACACTTTGGGCTATATGGATGCAAGGTCTGAGAGACTAATTTAAAAAGCTATTAACAGGGAAGATACAAAGGCACAGTGCTTCCTATTGAACACAGGTCCTTGACATAAGCCTTGTAAGGTCTTTGGACACAAATTAAAACCTGATGGCACAAGCCAAGCCAGCTCATTCTTATGCAAGTTATGTGCTTGCTGCCTCAGGGGTCTGGGGCTAATTTCTGAAGTGCCTGGTATGCCATGGCACCGAGTCTGTGCCTTACAAACGGAGGGCATGCACCGGTAGGCTGTGTAACTACTTGGTCTCTGCCATTTAAGACCAATATGTAGCGCTCATTGAAACATGAACATACAGTACTGTAAAAAAAAAGTTCTTGAGCTACCCCAGGTTTCTTTGTTTTTTGCTGGGAAAATGGGAAATGGTTGCGGAGATTTATTGAAATGCTAAACATACGTGGAAATACAGCATATAAGGCAGAAACAGAGTTTGGATTTTATGGATGTGGCAGCCTTTTATTCCATTCTCTGTCAAGATGATTCAAGACTGTTCCAGTTATGTGGAGATGCAGGCTCTGGGGAGGCCAATCCATGGATGATAGTCTTTTTTTGGTCTCTTTCTACCCAGCTATGCTTTTACTGCATTGGCAGTGTGGTTGGGATCATTGTCATGCTGAAAAATGAAGCTGCTGCTCATTAGATGCTTTCCAGATGATATTGTATGATGGATAAAAATCTGATGGTAGTTTTCTGCATTCATAATTCCATCAATGTTGATAAGATTCCCAACAACCAACAAAGAAAACCATTTCACATTTGGATCCATCACTCCACGGGACCTGTTGCAATTGACTGTAATTTGCCATATCTCAGCTTTAACGTCATTGTCCCGTCTTGATGGCCACCCTTCTATTAAGACCATCTTTAAGAAGCCTTCAGTTAACAGTAGATAGATCAACTGTTGGGCCTCGTGCATTTCTTAGGGCCTTTGACAGGTCTGTGCTGGATTTTTCTTAATACATGACTTTCAGATACTGTTCATCAGGTTTTGTTTTGTTTTTTTACATTTTTTAGGTCTTCCACTTGTTTTTTTCATCATTTTCTAATCCAGTTTCCTTAGATTTTGGAAGGAGACATACAAGACTGGTTCATCCCCTGAGTTAGGTTCCCTTTTTATGGTTGAATGATTCATAGGTCAGTGTTAAGCCTCTTAACACTGACAAGAGGGTCTGGCTCCTTGTAAGCAAAATATAAAGAAATGTAGGATGCCTCAAGACTTTTGCACAGTACTACACATCCTTCAAACTATCTAAAATAACTTTTATTATATAATTTTATAATATTTTTTATGGCACCAGTTCTTAGGCAAAGGACATCTACAGAAGTTTCATTTTCATTGGCTACAACCTGAACATGAAATGAGTAGCAAAAGACAGAAAATGTTCTGACAACAGGTGTTTGGATCTTATTTTTACACCTTATTTGACCCAAGAAAGGATAGTAACAACACTACGAGATTAACTTTCTTAATATCCATATGTTTAACAATACACTTGTACTTAAAAGTTCATCTTTTCTCACTTTCACAGTTTTAAACCATCTTGAAATCCAATGTAAGCAATGCAAGAGAATAACGTATCAGTCAAGTAACCAGCGCTGTATGAATTGCCTTAGAAATCCAAATGAATTCTGAACCATGCCATCTCCTCTCTCTTAAGAACCCAAGCAAGGTTAAGGAGGTGATAATACAACTGCTAGTGGTCTACCTTTTTTATGGGTAATCATTTTAAAAGTGACAGAGGAGTTATAACTAAATGAGGAACGGCAAGGTTAAAAAACAAAGACGAGAACCAGGCTTTGTCTGTCCTGTAAAGAATGAAGGTTTTTAAACTCAATGACTATCAGGAAGAAAGGACACGGTGACACGACTAATGCTTGAAGTACTTCGCAGAAATCTTCTCTGACGTTTTAGTGTCAGAACGGAGAAGAAATTAGGCGTTCATGGACAATACAGATGAAAGCACAAGGCTCGTTGCTGAATATGCTTAAGTTTGAAAACTGTAAGAAAAGTGTAAGAAGACAGGGTGATGCAATTCTCAAGGTTGTTCAAGTAACTATTTGGAGGCATAATTTTTAAGACACATGCCACATAGTGATAATATCCAAGGCTCAGTTTCCAGCAGAGGGACCTCCCACCTTCTTCTTTTTGGCCTTGTTTTGGTCTCTCTTAAAACTGCAGACCGACAAAAGAAGGCAACATTACCAAAACTTAATTCTGAAACAAAGAAACAATCATATAGATATTAATTTCCCCCAGAGGAGCTAACTAATTTTTATAGCATTATTAGGCAAATATTGCAGAAAAGATTCAAAAATCATTGCATTTCATTATTACGTCTATGCATGTGTGTGCGCGTATCTGGCTGAAGAGGAAGTGTGGTGTTGGGAGTGAGCAGTGGTGTGGATCTCCATTTGTATATACTCCAGGCTACAACACGAGTAGCAATCTGGAAGTTTTAGACATGGTGTAAAGAATATATTAATGTCCAAATGGCTAAAAATCACAAAGAACCCCCCAAAGGAATACTTCTATATTTCCGAGAAGATTTTTTTATCCACTTACTTGCAGAGAGTTTGCAGAGCAAATATATAAATCATTCCCACATCTGTATATTAAACATGGAGCTACTTTCAGTGAGGTGAGACTTGTTTGAAACGCAGATGGACCACAGGTGACTCTCAGGCTCTGTCTGAGGGTAACAAGATGTGCGTACTAGCACCTCTACACCTCAGGTTATTAAGTTATAAACTACACCCTATTTTCCACTAGGTTGCCAGATTGACTTTGCTATCCTTTTTTTTCTTTACTGCTGGCTTGAGCTGGCTTTTGCCTCATGAGGTATATAGTTGGATCAACATTTGCTGTCATCCCAATAACACCATTTTCAGAGAAGGAAGCTCCGTATCAAAAGGGTCTGGGGCGCTAAACTAACCTACCTGCAGCCCAGACCTGTCACCCACTGACAACCATGAAAGTATCCAACAGGCTTGTTCTTTAGCTCCTCAGACAGGAACCTGTTAACTGTTCTCACCTTATGCTTAAAGACAAAGGAGGTGTTTGCGGTTAGAGCTCCTCAGAAGTGGAATGACCTGAGGAAATACGCATCGCCTCATCTGTGTCTTCTTTAAATCACTCCATTCATATTGTGAGGCTTGTTTTTTTAAATTTTGTTTGACCATCTTCTAATATAGATTCAGAGTTTTTGTCACTCTAAGCTCAACTTATATCGTTAATTTTTATGTCAACCATATAATTACAGTGGAATCACATTGCTTCTTAATCTTAGTTTGACGTTGCACTTGAGTCATGAGGGTTATTTTAATAGAAATGCCCATTTTTGTGCTTTACAAATAAAATGTATTATTAATTTCAAAGCTGTTCCAGTTGATTTCTCAGATGTAACAATTATAGAGAAAAGATGCAACACAGAGTAAAGGAAATGTGTTGCAAAATGGTGATTAAAGAGCTATTTATTAGATGGACCAGTTGTGTCCATCTGACCTTATTGCTAGCATACTTCGCCTTTACTTCAACATCTGTGCTCTTCCTCTTTGTCACCAGATTGGCAGCCCCATATTCACCATCCTTTGTCCAATACGCACACTATCCCTCGTCTGCTCACGTCCAAACCACCTCAGCCTTGCCTCTCTAGCTTTGTGTTCAAACTGCTTAACCAGAGCTGACCCTCTGATATGCTGATTTCGACTTCTGTCCATCCTAGTCACTCTTAATGAAAATCTTAGTATCTTCGTCTTTGCCACCTCCAGCTTGGCCTCCTGTCAATCTGTCAGAGCGACCATCTCTAAACCATACATCACAGCAGGTCTCACTACCATCCTTTAAATGTTCCCTTTCAGTCTCGCTGCTATCCTTCTATCACAAATCACAAACCTCAATCACCAAAACAAATAAATAAAATAAAACCAGCCTTTCCTAACCCACTAAACTGTGATCATCATAGAATTACTTAGTAAAAGTGCAAAAAACTGTCTTTACATACCGAAATTTTAAGAAGTGTACGAACGCATAACACTGCAAATTATCCTATGATTAGAACATCATGTAGAAAGCGTGTATATGTACTGTATTACCTGGAGAAATGCATGGCCTTCTGACCAGCCACACTGAAGTAAAAGTTGGTGGTGTGCCTCATCTCATCTGTGTGCCCCGTTTCTTCTATCCAGTGGCCGATCGGGTGGCAGTACACGCCATCCACCACATTCTTATCATCATATGTACACCATCTGTCATGGCTCGGCCCGCTTCCTGGTGACAAAGATGACAAGCACGTTAATGCATATAAATCAGGGACGTCAAACTGATTTTCCACGGTGTGTCCCATGCGGCCCAGATCTTGAGTGTAAAGTGTAAAGAGGTTAAACTACACATTTAGCTGAGATGTCTTGAAATAAGAAACAGATTTCAACAGTATTTCTCAGTTTTTCTACATGATAAAGAGATGGTGTTGTAGTAAACGAAGAAGAAATGTGTCAGCATGATTTAAACTGTATGACAAAAATATGTCAAATTACATAAAAATAGAAATGAGTTTCAGTTTTCTGGGCCCACTGTAAAAAGCATACATTTCTATAGTAGATTGTAAAAAAACAAAAAAAAAACAAACAGGCACTTTTCTGTTATTTAACTGTTAAATAACTTAATTTCTGTGATGCACTATAAATAGCCACTGGGGGGGGAAGTCTTTATCAACAGGAGAAGTTGTAAAACTTCTTATATTCTAAAGCTATCCAGTGTGGCAGATTGGAGTAATCCCCGGGGGACGATCGGGGCCTTATGTTTGACACCCTTGTTATAAATTGTCCAACCATCGGCGTAACTTTGTGCTGAACATTGGGGGGGTATTAAATAAATTAATAATAATAATAATAATAATTAATAATAATGGGGGGCTTAAATAAATTCCTAGATGATTAAACATGTAACTATT